TCTATCAAAACAAGTAATCATCTGTATCTATATCTATCTTTGTGCGTATATTGACTTTAAATTATATAGATAGATATTGGCATCCTGTCTGACGGTTATGTTTCGCATTAGATATGTTTAGATAGAGACATATTAACTGATTTGTTTTCATTAATATTGGATTTTAATACATATAAAACTAATGTTAAGCTTATACGACTTTACTATTGACAGTAGACAAGTCGTCTAGAATTTAAATGTAATATTAGTATCGGGAGGATTTGTGTCTATCACACTTGACAATTTATTAATGCAAGCAATGATATACGTTTTATTGTTTGTCATATTTCTATTTCTGTACAATTTTCATCTCTGTATGTCAATATAATCCCTACGAGTTAATTCTTCTGCTATTTTAAGTGGTGCAAAAGTCGATGAATACCGGCTCATTATCAACTCTACAGCATTACAATAAGGACGAGATGTGGTTGAATAATTATGACGACTGATTGTACCTTCTGTTAGAGAAATAGTCAGCTTGAAACGTCGAAATTTGCAAGTGGCAATTTCGACAGATCGGTACTTTGCAGTTAGGCCCGCGATATATTGAATCAATTTGTTTAATACCTAGGAAATGGTAAATAATCCTTAGACATTGTTGTCGTCAGGTTTATTTAGTACACTATCTATTATAACAAGCTGTGAAATTTTAAGATAATATTCATTTCCGCATACTTATACAACTAATTGTTATTTTTGAACCTCCCGTTGAGTATATATTATTAATACCTATACATAGTCAATCGGGTGATAACAGGAATCATTTTATAGTAAACAAACCTACATATATTAAATATTAATAGAAATATACTTTACTGCAATTTAGTAGATAACTCATTGAATTTCCATACGATGTTATCCAGCACGAAAACAAAGTAAACTTGCTAAACTGTTTGCATGCATCGAAACAGGCAGGTGCAGTGAAAGCTTTTTTGCAAGCTTTCAGCGGAACGTTTAAACCATTTTCACGTAAAATAAATAATGTCACGACTATACCATATTGTCGACGTTTGGCTTTGATATATGCCCTTTTTGTATATACACAAAAATGTTTTCCTAAGTTACATGTGTTCGGATGAATTTTTTGTAACGAAAAAATGTAGGCAGTACCTTTATCACTGTCATTCAGACTTCGAATGGAGGAATGAAGACGATTTCGAAAGTGCTATTCGAGAAGCAAATTAAGTGGACAACGTTACAAAGAGTTACGTTACGTTATTTTATTATACATTAATAAATTATAATGGTAGGTATTTGTGACAATGACTAACGATATATGCAGTTGAGGCACCAGCGGAGGATAATAACACGAGCGTGTCAGGTCAGTCAGCCCATCGTGGCGAAATCCTTAAATTAACTGCGGTAGTCGTACTTGAAGGTAGATCTAAGACATAGCTAGCAATGATACCACTAATCCCCTGATAATGATAATACAAGAGAAGCTGTATATTCGCAGGGTTTACATACTAACCAACAAATGCTAGCTAGTAAACAAATAGCTGCCTACAGTTACAAAATATTTAATACAATACGAAAACAATTTATTTTGTTGTGTAACGTGGCTGTCATGCGTCACGGTAGATTCGCAGCAAATGAAATATGTCAAGAGCCGTTTCGCGGTCGATTGGGCGCAATATTAGCGCCCTACTCGCATCTTACGAAAACTACGCACCGATAAATAACAATTTATAAAAAGTAGTCTAACAAATACTGCGCGGGTCTAAGGTTAACACTAACGTAATTAATGGAAGTGTGCCAATTAAATACTTATTTAAATACCACTCAACCGATTTCAAAACCGAGCAGGTGGTGGGTTGGACTGATTATTTTTCTATGTTACAAAATATCCCCGTCAATTTTCAAATTGTTCTTTTTGCAGTAGATAACAACAATTTTAATGACATGGGAACTTATACTGTCCATCCATGGACATCCATGTTATAAAAATTGTTTTCAGGAGAAGTGTTTTAATATGGATACCTAATTTGTTCAAGATATATAGGTATGGTTCTAATAAGTAGAATATATAAGAAATAAAAATATATATATGAGGCGCATTCCCAAATCAGGAAAAGAATTAAAATCATTAGTATTTCCTGTAGGTATAATTACAACTTGAAGACTTGTCCTTTCTTAAAAGTAGGGTTGAATTCTGAAGAATTATTAACGAGTATCTAAACTTTACATGTGAAAAGAAATCGATACTGCTAACTAAATTTAACAAAAATATAATAACGATACTGTATGTAAGAATATTAATAAAAAAAAATCATTTCGTAATTACCTGATTTAACTACACTGCGAATAAAATTGCAAAACAAAATGTTGAAATATTATTTGATTTGACAGGCATAATTTGCAAGTAAATGCTTAAAAGAAAACACAGATTAAGATCTCATATATTAGAAGAGTTAATTGAGTCAATGAGCAGGCAATGACCCTAATGAGATGGTAACAAAAATATGTTCGACGATTTATCTGTGCGCTCGCGCAGAGATTTATAGGGCAACGGGCGCGCCGCTCGGACGAGATAATCCCTTGTCAGGGTTGCCAATATATTTGCTACAAAAACGTTTCAACACGAGTAGAACGACATATAATTATTATTAACCTTGCATTTGGAGTTTGCATTTAAATATACATAAAAAGTAATCTAATATCTAGCAAGGTGTGTCAAAACGCTATTTATATGTAATGGATTTGTAAATAATAATATTGTATATTCTGCTATTATGTTTACTTTTATAGTTATGAGTCTCATGTTACAAGAATTAACGAGGAATCGGTAGATGGTTATAGAAATACCTTAGATCTGATAAAAAATCGTCAAGCGGACGTCATCCAGAGATGAATAATGGTTTACTTTTATGTTAAAGTTATTATCAATAATGAACTGCGTAATAAATAATTTGTCAACTGCGAATCATTTCTATTGAAATATGTTTTTTTTTTACTACACTTAAAACTAAGTACATACTATTTCAAAGCTCTGGCTTAGAACATATATAAAAGTTACAACCCTGGAGCAATACGAATCGGTATGTTTTGAAGAACACACGCGGTGGATTTTATGCAGCTTGTTCGCAACTAATATCTAACACTTGAACTGAAACAAGTATTGACTTACATCGTTTGAGTCAGTCACTTTAAAATAATCATATACATTCGATAAAAAATATTGATGAAATATCCATATTTTACTTTTTAAGTATAATCTCATCATATATTTATGCTAGGCTATTATCGGCATAATATATTTTGAGGATTATGTTATTATAATTATTAAATAAATGGTTATGCCTGCATGAACATATAAATAAAGTATTATATGTAACCATTAAGTAATCTGTAGAATACTACAGATTATATATGTTATGCACGTGTTTTGTATATAAATAGATATACATAAGCCACACAATCTCATCAATAGCCTAATTTAAGAATCAAGCTATTAATACATATGCTTATATAACTAATATAACTTTAATATAAAGTAACAATGAAAACTAATGTAGGCATCATTGTAAAAAATAGATTTCGAAGAACGTGCGCAGAAACTTCAATATCTAGTTTCTCCATCATCACTTTGATCGGACTACTAGATGATAAAAAAAAGTTTTAGTACTTCATCCCTAATCGTATGTAATCCAATTCATTGGTTAGTACGAAATAGACTGTGTATTACATTAGATTATTACACACCTTTAAGAATGAGATAACCAATCTGTGTCAATAGAAGTCATAGCACGAATTTCTATTTAAGACAAAAGTTTAATTGCACAAGCCTACAAGCTCATCATCACAGTTCGAGACATTTTTATATTAAAAAAAGTAAGACTCAAATAAATAAAACCTCATAATGTGCAAAGTTCCAAAAGTACGTATTATATTACTATTGTGCATTAATATTGTTCTAATAACATATTTAATATTCCGTAAGAAAACATAAAGACAAGAATAAGTACTAGTTAGTGAGTAATAAAAGCAAATATTTTCTTTTAATACTTAAGGTTTATGTTTATCCGATTTTTAATTCATTGACATCGAATTCACCAATACACATGTCTTAAGATTAGCTGAGCATCACTCACCAAATACCGAAGAAACCGGAAAGTATTCAATGAATCTGTCCATGTAAATAGTACAGGGCTGCCAGTAACCGCAGAATCTAACGGGTCTTCCAAAACTATTGACAGTGAGTGTGGATGCGATCAGAATTAAGCCGGGGATTATGAAGAGACCGAAATAGACGACTCAAATCCAGGCAGATTAAGGGATTCCGTGTTCCGTCCGACGGCACGGCACAAAAATACCGAAGGCGCGCCGGATGCGACGATTAGTCTAAACATTTAGCTCGTTAATATTGTGATGCACTGCTTCGAATGTCACGTACAAACGCGGTGTGAAAGTTCGCGCAAACCGCCTCACATTAGATAGATTTATAAGGTACATCTCGATACAAAAATGAATTATAACATATTATTAGTATTAATTTTAATTGGATCTGAATTTCCCATAAGAAAATACATTGATGTTCGACTATCAAACTCAATTCAAATTCTATGTAGTAGCCATTTCAGAGATTAGTGTAAACTAACAAATGAGGATAAACTACAATAATAAACAGTTAGTAGATATGTCTGAATTTTGTGTCATTGCTATACAAGTTTGTATATATTATAATGTTGTGGTAGTAACACCGTATAATTTCCAATTTCTACTTACTTGTTAGATTATGTTATGTGACTTTACGATTATGTTATATTACTTTACGTTACAGCAAAGTAGCTTTGTATAATATTAGCTATTAATTCTATAATTTCAATACGACATATCTATCATAAGTATTATGAAAAAAATGTGCCCAAATCAGATCTATTAATTAAATTATGGAGGAGTTTTAAGTATGATGTATTATTCTCAGAAAATAACGGCTTCTACTAAATAAAGTTGTTACTTACCCTAACTCTCGCTTCTGTGAGATTAGTCCACATGGCTATCTCCTCGCGCGTCGACATGTCTGGATAGCGATTTCTTGCAAACGTCGCTTCTAGCTCCTGCAGTTGTTGGCTCGTGAAGTGTGTTCTTTGACGTCGTTGTCGCTTGTTCTTTTTATCCCCTTTGTCGTCTAGAGACGGCTCGTCGGGTCCCACACCGGGGGTCGTTGATTCCGTCTTTATCGTAGGCTCTGAGGTAAGGGGGCGATTACCTGGAAATAAAACCCATTGTGAGAAATATATCTATCTATCTATACATCGACATCTTTACAAATGTAACAACTTACATATACTGAAGTGTTTATTTTATTACGTAAGTAATAAAACATAAAAATAGTCATAATCAGCAAAATAGCATAAATTGCAGAATACATAATAGTTATATTTAATAAACACTTTATAATACAATAACAGATATAATTTTCAGAAAAATAAAGTAAGTACCAGGTAAATAAATAGGATTAAAATTAATAATTTGAGGTTGAAGTCCGTTTTATTGAATAGAAAAATAGAGGAAGCATGACATAATATGCAGGAGTAATACATAATACGTTAGGCGTTCGATTATTCCTACTAATCTCTAAAAAAGCATGAAGATGTATAATGATGTGCCGTGAACCCTTCTGGACGTGGAAATAGGCATAAATATATAAATTAAATTAATAAAATTTGCTAACATAGTTTATAAGTTGTTTACCAATATAATATGGACAGAAAAGAAAACCGCTTTTGCTGTGGCTCCGCAATTCCAGAACACGTCCATTACCATCTCTAAGAGTATTGGGATTCTCGGTATCGACATCTCTAGCACAGTTGAGTTCCGTAGTCACCTCGAAGAAAAGGTTAAGCTGGCGTTCAAAAAACTCGGTGTGCTCAATAGAGCGAAGCGGTACTTCACTGCGGACCAGAGACTCCTCTTATATAAGTCTCAAGTTCGGCCGCACATGGAGTACTGCTATTAACTTTGGGCAGGAGCACCTGGATACCAGCTCGGTCCTTTTGACTCAGTTCAGAGACGTGCTATGAGAATTGTCGATGATCCCGATCTCTCTGACGCTATCGTGCCACTTAATTTGAGGCAAGACTTCGCTTCGCTTTGTGTGTTCTTCCGATTATACAACGGACTGTGTTCTGAGGAATTGTTCGACATGATGCCTACGGCCACCTTTCACCATCGCACCGCTCGCCATCGACAGGGAATTCATGCCCACACGCTGGAACCTAAGTGGTCTCGGACAGTGCGGTTTCAGAGGAGCTTCCTTCCGCGTACACTTAGATTGTGGAATTAACTTCCTGCCGAGGTTTTCTCACGAGACTACAGCATGTGGTTTTTCAAGAAGGGTATATTAAGGCTTCTTAAGGGTCGGCAACGCGCACGTGACACCCCTGGTGCTTCAGGCGTCCACATATCCGAAATAAATTAATAAATACAAAAATAAATAATACCGTGTTTAGTGCAAATGAAGATTCAATGATAAATCGATTTAAATAAAATATGCACGAAATAATATTATATAACTAAGTAATAATAGTAAAGTTATGGCCTCCATTATTCGGTAGCAGTCAGTAATACGGGGATTAAGCGCTGGCGCAGCTTATCCATTTACGACATTGTTGTAAATTCAATGTTCTCAATGGACAACGTCAGATTTCATAAATCAAGTGTCACGTGGAATATCTATTTTAGTTTTAATGTACCTAATTAAATCGGAATGCTTTAAAAAATACATTTTATTTTTTTTTATTTCGGAGTTGTAAGTTACACTTTTTTTTATTTCGAATTCTAGATGAAATACATAAATATCATTTAATTACATGATATCTTATAACTTTCAGGTATCAACATACCATTTATTTAATTTGTTCTTCTGATATTTAGAATCAATCGACAATGTAATTGATTCTATGTATCAGAAAATCTTTGAATTTTGAGATATAACAATTATGTTTCAAAATTTTTGTTGGCAAAAAATTCATCAACATTATAAAAACACTTTTTCATCAGAAAGAATGCAATCAGCTTCCAAAAAATAGTATTTAATTCTGTCACGTGATAGAAATATTTTTATTCTGACATGTACTTTTGGACAACGTCTCGAGAGATTGTTTATTGTAATTAAATTGTGTAACTCTGATTGCGTAGCTATTTAATACATGAGCTACGAGTCGACGATCATGCCGAATAATCTTGTGCATTAAAAAATAGTAAAACAGGGAATTTCCTGTGCTCCGTAATTAATTTAAATAACATTTTACTAAATATAAGTCGATCAACCAAAACAATAAAGTGGTAATAAAACAAATTGAACAACTTTTTTCTCACCTTTCTAGACAGGTATCAAGTACTGTATTTATCATGACGGATAGTTTCATATGCCACGTGTTTGTTCTAATTAATGTCACCCAGTCGGTATCGCGAGGGGACAAGTTTTCTGATAATGATGTTATTGCATCAATTCGTTACGATAACGTGCGATCACTATCACGCAAATAATACTTTGTTACACATGCCAATGTTGTATATATTGTCTTCTTAATTTCTAAAAGGTATCTCACATACTTGCCATTCAACAATTTTATATTTTAAATAGATGCTTTTCCTGACTTTCTCAATGTCTTATTATTTTGAAATTTGGATGATTAGGCTTAGGATTATGATTATTGCTTAAAAACATGATAAAATATTTTTTTAAATTATGTTTCTATGTAGATATATAGAATTGATTGTCTGTTGACCTATCATTTTTTTAAGTGGAATAAAACCCACTTTATGGAAAGTTGCTACCCACCGCCATCTACGAGTTCATAATCAGCACGACTTTTTAGTCGTGCTGATTATGTATGTCGTATTATTAACACATCCACCTCATGCGTTTATCTCATGCATTGCCATTCCTGATGATTAAGGTCAATCAATACACAGCTTCAAGAGACAGAGATATAGATAATATTTATGGGCTTTATACAATTTTAATATACCTTATATGATATTCACCGACATATTTGTAATAAGAAAAATTTCAAGTGCGTGCAAAAAAATAAACAGTAAAGCCTTTATTAAAAATAAACAATAGATATATTTTTTAATATATATTATCAAAAAAATCATTATCTAATCTGATGTAAAAACCCTGTGCTAGTATATAAAAATTTATCTTAATCGTTATCTATAAATACATTTATTTCGAACAGTATTTATAAACTGCGGATTATCTTCTACAGTTTTATTGCCCTTAATATATCTTGATTGAACAGTTCTAATAATGACATATCTACTTCGTGCCATAAATAATCAACTAATTGTTTTTAGTATGTTGCAATGTCAGTAAATTTTTCAAATTTAATATCCATTATATTTCAAATCCGCGATTCCAAACCTACATTTATCTTGAATTACATAAATATTTTAATTAATTACATTAATCTTTTAATTGGTTTCATATATTATTACGATATGTTTGTATAGCTATCATCACGGAAAGTACAAATTAAATAGATTTAGTGGTCGGTCAAGTGTTCCTTGTTTTTGTTATGACATTTATATCTGCAACTCAAAAAAGCATAACAAAGTCCAAGGACGACACTCACGCATTACTACACATCGAACCACATTGTTTTAATATTTCTTAAAAAGCCGCAGTGAAACGTGTTAAAGTGCGCCCTGAATATCTTTCGTAGATCGTCGCGTGTAGTTAAATCCAGACCGATTCTCATAGTGCCCCCGCTAATTTACCCCAACCGGTACTGCTGCAATATTGCTCCTGGATATATAAGGACTAGCTGTGCCAGCGATTTCACCCGCTTAAAAATTATAGCCAATGTATTATTCTCAACTATAAGCTATAAACAAACAACCATTGATACTTACAAACTTCCGCGTTTATAATATTATAGCAGTAAGACAAGATCATAATAGGGCTAGGGGTCCTTAAAAAAATAGAACATACTTATATCATATTGTTATGATATAAAATAGAGAACATACAGATTGTTACTGTTTCTCCTTTGACTATAAGCACCTTACACACAGGGATATTACAATATTCAAGAACCAAATTTATATTCTGATCTTTAGGTAATGGATTTGTTATTTAGGTGATTGGTTTGGATGCTTTGAACAAATAATTATTAGAAAAAATCAGATATCGCTATTTAAGAAAAGGAAATAACATGAAAAATTAAGGTAATTAAAATGTACGTGAAGCAAAGCTAATAAATAGCTAAGGGTACAGAGTAAAGTAGATGAATTGTGTTTGATGTGTACTACATAAGCAACATATAATAAGGATATAATAAATAAAATACAGTTCAGGTATCAAAACTTAGTATTCTTTTTAACCAGAGTGCAATTATGATACATGTCATAAGGGTAGATAAAATATAAGATAGATGTAAGTAGGTAAAAGATAATATTGACATTGGATACCATTTAACCAATTAATACGATATATTTTTATTGAATTTAAACTACTACCTCATGCGTTGCCATTCCCGAGGACTAATATGTTAACCCACCATACACTGTAATTTCACTCTCACAAGTCATCCTTCTACCCGAAATATACCTTAACAGAAAAGTACTAAAAAAGTGCCCACGCAGACGACTTTATACAAAATTTACCCCGGTAAATTTCTATACAAATAGATCAAGATATAAAAAGAATGTATATTGTAAAATGATTCCAATAATATATTACAAAATTTTGATTTGAATAGAAATATTAATTCTAGTATAATATCTAATAAGCCCACCATACCCGGCCTAATCAAAATATTTGCGAAGGATTACGCGCGTATCGCGTTAATTTCGACAACTTTATTAAAACCATCAATCTGTACGGCTTGGCAATCTCATTGGTGTATAATGAACAAGGTGGGATTATGGTCTCAAAGTTTAGGTAGCGAGCTACCGTACTATCCTTGCGGCTGATTACGACACGATGGCGATTGCAGGGCTGACCCTATCTATAAGTAGGTCTAGTTGCTTTATAAACTATTAAATTAACTATAACACTACTTTACAAAAAAAATATTTTACGTAAAGACAGTTAAAACTTTATGTGATTTCTGCCTACCCTCTTATTATAAAAATATATGTCTTATACCTATTTTTATCACGTAAAGTTTTTTAATACATACTTAGCGAAATAACTTAATTCCCTCATTAAGTTACTGCGCTAACTTGCTGAGTTAATCGCTTTTGTTGCATTAATCTAAGAATTAAACACGATTGGTTTTAAAATGGCCTCAAGACAAGATTTGCTATGTTTGTAGTCGAATTATCCCATCAAAAAACAAGACATATATTACTGAAGCCGTAAAACGAGCTTATTTCCAATATTTCCAAATCTCGGTGACAAATTTTGATAAAAATTGGGTTCCTCGAGAGTTATGTGAAAATTGTAGAAGTATATTATTGAACTGGTCTGCAGAAAAAAAAATACTTGCAGTTTGGCGTCCCAATATTATGGAGGGAACCAACAAAACACGACTGTTACTTTTTGCCTTACCAAAACTTCGGGTTTTAACAACAATAACAGAAGTATATACAATACCCTGAAATTCCATTAGTCACAAAACCTGTATTGCATTCCGAAGGAATGCCTCACCCATCATTGTCCTGTACTTCAAATAAGGAAAATGAATTAGAGTTCATGGATACCGAAATGGTTGAGTCTACATTAAGTCACGATTCAGATGATCTTTCCGAATTTGAATCTGAAGATAGTGAACCACATTTAATTTCACAGAGTGAATTGAATGATCTTATAAGAGACTTGCAGGTTTCAAAAAGTAAATCTGAATAGTTTATTTCCCTTCTGCAACAGTGGATTTATCATAATACCCGAGGGATTGGTAATTTCTTGGGCAACCATAAATCAGAAGATTATGAAGAAGTTGTCAATTAAAAATTCATTTTTTATATCACACCTGGATTTTTTTCCTGAGAACTTAGGAAGCGTTGGATTTAAGAATATTTTCCTTATACCTTGTATCATCCAGAGGGGCAAAGAAGTGCAAAAAAACTTCAAAATTAAAAAAAAAACCCGTACACCAAACTATTTCGCCATCGATAACATATCCTATGAAATTTGTAAATACTAATCATAAAAATAAATTTTAAATTGTGGCATGCAAAAGAAAACATGTACTTTGGGAAAATAGATTTCCTTTGGCATCCCTACTTAAGTTGGATATGAACCGATATGGGCTGATATCGGTTATCAGGGGCGCGCTTTGAGCGCTAGCCGACCCATCGATCATGTCGAACAACCTTTGCGATCAGCCGACAACGCGACACGTAGGTAAATAACGTAGTGAACATATGTTACAGATATCAAACATGTAACACTTCACACACGAACCGATAAATACAACCTTTCTAATAGGTTATTTGCTTTAAGTTATATAACCGTTTAAGTGACGATAAGGAAATAATTAGAAGAGGGGTTTTTTTAATACCTCAAAATTGACGATCCAAATGCGATTGATTTTAGTTTTATTGACACACCTGATGATTACCTTTGGCGGATAAAAGTTTGCGATGCTAAGTAAATCTAGGTGCGGCTGAGTTGACTTTAGCGGCCCATCTCAAAGCTACAAATCAAATAGATACCATCTATTTTTTTATGTAACTAGAACGGCAAACAATTTTACGCCTGACTTGATGGTATCTGGCTACCGTTGCTATTGTTATATATTTGAAAATCACTATGGAAATCACGCTATCATGTAATCTGATGTGATATGACGTTATAATTCTAGATGATACATTGTCTATATACACTATACCCTGTATTTATACTTGTAATAGAATTTATAATTTGTTATCATGTAAGGTCCAGCTAAGTCAATGACTAAATACGTTGTTATTAATTCCAATATAGTGAGAGGTCCCGCCTATTTTGATTACATAGAAAACTATGAACAGAATTATTGAATAATTTTCTAAAATATTTGAACACACGTCCTATAACAATCAATTGTCGCTCTAATATATAATATCTGTGATTAATAAAGCTGAAAATAAAAAATCCTTCTCGCCTCCTAACAGTAGAAACTTAATAGGTTAATCATGATTTAATGTTATTGCTTTATATTTAAATATACCTAGGTACCTGTTTGCCATTATCACAATTTTCTGATTGTAATACAGTAGACCAAGGACTTTAATATGCCTACGTAAGAAGAACATTTTTTTATCTAATCACCTATGTAGAAAACGTGGTATCTAATGTTGAGACATACATAGGTTAAGTATACAGCGTTTCACTCTAAGCGACTGACCCCCGCCGCGCGGCGCCGCACTTCGTGTGTTTGTGAAAGCATTAAAATACCGTGCATCAGTATTTGCCATAGAATCCACGAAGCTTACTCGGTTTGCTTTCAGTTTTAAATATGTCACTTTGTGTGGTCCTACGATGAATTGAAAATATTGCAAGTAGTAACTTCTAAATTTTGTAATGATCTTGTAATGGCTGACGTTTTCCATAAAGGCCAAAGTAAAGTGATGTCAATAACGCATACGAGGTACTCTACTGTTTTTACAGTGTACGATGACCGTTTACCATAAAATGAAATGAATGAAAACATTTTACCTGGTAGGTGCAATTGAACTAAAAATAGGTTATATTTAATCGAATTACGTATTACTTCAAGAAGTATATTTCATTACTCAATGGAGTCGTATTATATTATTTAATTCTGCTATCATTAGTATGTGCGAAACCACTCAGTGCGGAAACCTGACCACCGCTAGCGGAACCATTATGATCTTCCCCATCATTGATCAAATTCCGACCGTTATTGGATCTACAACCATACATATTGCGACACGTGCTTCGCCTGAATGAGGCATCATCAGACAATAAATAGAGTTTGGATATAGTTTGGAAATCTAGTGTTGACTGTTCGGCGTCGTACTGTAATATGTATGTTCCAGCACATGCAGTAGCGGAATTAACATACAGTTTTAAATAATAAAATTACATTATTGACTAATTTAAATAATGGCTTAGTAATAAATGGCTGATTACCTGATGTTTCTAACATACAAAAAACAAGAAAATTATCTTAAATAAATAAATAACGTAAAAATAATGAAATAAATAAATAATGCAAAATATAATACTGGAGTAGAACGTAACAGTTAAATATTTCTAGAAGCTATTTGAGAATATTATGTATTCAGATAGAGACTTAGTTGATATTTATCAAGATCAAAGGAAACTACCATGATATATGTGACATCGCAAGTAATTTAATCTTCACAAAATTAGACAAGTAAACAGTATTATAGTAGTATTATAACTCACTAGTTACTACTCACAATTAGCTATATTATTTCACTATGCCGTATGGAAATTCTATAATAGTTACCTATATATTTGATGAACCTACTGCAATTAGGTTATATAAACATGCAAACGCGTATGCCTTTGGGAAGATTCAATTTATAATTCACACATTCATTAACTAACCGCTATATCTAATAAAATAAGATTGGAAAAGGGCTTTAAATATTTATTCATAAAGTCGATTTTCCAGTTGCAATAACAAATGCAGTTTATTTTTAAGCGTATCTATTAATTATTATTATAACAATGAAATGAGAGTGGTCCATTTAGTGGCTACGATACTGCTATGATACTCTATTAATTCCACTACACCATTCATTATTGCACTGGAGTAATATTGACAAATATGACTGTTCTGGATGCTTTGTCGTCTTAAATCTTAATAAAACATTAAGATTTTAAGTAAATACAACCTTAGTTTTTTTAACATGGAAATTAAACAGCTTGTCCTTCATTTCATCTTTTTCTCTATTTTATATTAACGGAATTTCTGAGTTGTAGTTAGGAATTAATGAAATATTTTGAGAACTAGTGGCACAGAAAAAGGGCTAATTTTAGTATTGAAAAGGGCCAAACTGGCAATACTGATTACATTTCTTTCATAATAATATTATGACTGAATAATAAGTATCAACAAAATATTAACAAGGAGTAGTGATAAAAAATGTAACTTACTATCGTCTGTATGTTTACGATCACGCCTTGGCCTCGGGGGTGCGTATAGTGATTGGTCCACTCCGGATCCAGCAGATGCTAGCGACGAATGTCCGCTGTCTCGAAATTCTCCTGTTTCTGCCCATACTGTGAACAATTGAAAAATAATTATATGCAGTTTTATTTATTTTAGGATGATGTTGTTGATCATTTAATAATCTTCGCCTAATTTTAGTTTCTATATTAAAATAATTTCAATTGATTCATTTTTCATTTTTTATATGACAGGTATGGCAAGCAAAAAAGTTACCCACAGGAATAAAAATGGAAAGATATATTCGGAAGTCTACGTAATGTACATTTTGATATTCCGAAATAACAATTTCTTGATGTTATTTCTAAATTATATAAAAAAAATAAGTACATACAACAATTCGCTATGTATGCAATAGTTAGAGGTCATTTATCAGGCTTTTCTTAGTCTTTCCTATTATAGACCAGACATAAATAAAGAAATTAATACTAATAAAATATTAGCTCTTATGCATAATATTTAGTTTAGATCTATAAATATGGAAGTTGGACTTTAGAATTATACTCCACATTTCTTATAACACACAGCCCACACACAGATAATGTACGAAAATGATTAACATCAAAATATTTATTACAGCAAAATTCTTTGACAATAACTTAGGAAGACTTTACATGAAATAGGAGCAGCTTTTTTGCTAATATAGTTATAATTATATTTTAAATAATCATAGTAGAATTAAAGAAATAAATATTTGCTTGCTATGTCAATGGAAATATTTAAATATCTTAAGATATCTCGCTAAATAAACATTTGGTGGTCAAGCTGGACCAAACGATGTTTATAAATTCGCGGTGCTAAACTCAATTAGACGAGTTATATACTTCAGATAAAGTTCTTAATATTTAAATGTTTACGTGCACACATAAATTCAATTAACGTTACTAATAGCGTCATTATTTTACGAGAAAATCTTGACAAAGTAATGTATTCGTTGAGCGACGATGACGCCCCGTCGCTTGCGCCGTAATTAAGTGTCCCCGAACACTTGTTAACAAATTAGTCAGATGCGACGGGACCGTGTGTACGCACCCTTATTTATAGCATATGAAAACACACATGCATATCAACTGCATATTTGTAATACGTATTATTATTATAATTTAAAGTGATGTATTATTATTAAGGAGAGCGTCCTGGACTATTCATCTACCTACCTAGACCAATGAGTCATGAGGTCGAACCTGACCGCCATCAAAAAACATTATGTATTAATATTTCTCAATAACACTTCTGTGATAGAAACAATGCTAACGAATTAAAAGTTATATTTCATTAAACCACACTTAAACGAATTTCAATTAAGTTATTTATGATATGGTAAATTGAGAAATATTTTTGACATCATTTGACAAACCAAATTTGATAGCAACATGTGTTTTATGGATACGCAGTTTTCATATGAAGTTAGTCATGAAAGAAACAGAAATATTTTTACAAATTGGAAAAAAATATAATTGTGCTAAAAAGTAGAATTTGATATAATTTCGTTGGGAAAAGACGTTCAGTTAATTTCGACGACTTGTTAAACTTTTCCGTTACACTTTTATAGGTTTATTTGCATAATATTCGACATTTTAAATTAAGTTAGTAATTAAAATGTATAACATCCAATGAGTTGTAAAACTGTTATATCATTAAGTTAATAATAATAACAATGCTTGTTTAATACTTTTAACAGCATTTATTTTCTTGTGACAAGTCCAAGTTCCTGTCTACAGGTTGAGTTTTATAAGAAACTAATAACTTATATATACAGATTAATAAATATAGTGGTCGCTCAGTATCGGATTTTTTACCATAATTAGCGTAAATATACTATAATTAGTGAATTTATTATGGTTATTTTGGACATTCAGTAAGAATAATATTATATATATCTATTCTCAATTTGACCACAGACTTTAGACGACTACATTACACTGCTAATCTATGTAAAAAACCAGTAATAGGTACCTATTTCGTGAACATTAGTAACGTAAGATAAACTATGAATGAGGTAGTAGGTATTTCCGTTAGTAAATAAGTGTTAGGTACCTAATCACTTACAAAAGGTCAGTGGCCTGCACATAACATGAAGTATGCATTCATTTTCTGACCTTACTTAAAACAAAGTAGTTATTTACATTTGTATAATTAATTATAAACTTTTATACATATATATCTTCTATACATATCATATTAAAATATATCAATGGCCGTGTTAGTAAGCATTGTTGATGTAAATGTCTGTTTCTATAAACACATCATGCAAAAACTACAGGTTCTAATGCAATTTTCACCGATGTAAGTAGCTGTTACTGGATTTTTAAAATATAGCATTTATTTTGCCTCGAGAATTTGTTCTACGTCATATCACAGATACCATAATATTACGTAGTTATACGAAGTAAGGGCGGGTTACTATAATAGTTTAAAAATAAATCCCTTTATTTTTCTTAATCAACAGAAACATTACAAAAAAAGAATAAAACGATATAGCATCCTTTAATTAACAATACTTTATATACATCTCTATCGTACACAACTCACCGCCCTATGAAAAAACGAGAGAGAACTACAAGATAAATTGAGTATACATCAACGGCCGAGCGCACCGAGCCAGAGATATCTGCCAAGTTTATTAAAAAATCTTTTAATTTACTCTGTAAAGAAATGCACCCAATGTTTATTGTAATATTTTTTGTTGTTTATTTATAACAGTGATCTCCATTGTGTCAACCACTGAGCCGATTGTTTTGGGAAAAGTCACGAACAAAAACAATTCATAGCGCGGAATGCCGATGATAATTGCAATTAAAAATAACGACAGCATTCCTTCGTTTTGTTTTACCATCAGTGTTTCTCAATCATGAAATAATCTAATATGTAAAAATCTTGTGTTTGCTATTGTTCTCCTTTGAAACGGTTTCATGAATTTTTATAAAAATGTGGTTTATAAGTATTTGTTATTTCTAAACCAAAATATGGCAAAATAAAGTTTACCCAGTTAGCTAGTAAGTATACTACATCTTCACGGCTATTAGCCTAGGTAAGACATTTTGAATGGTTCACCAGCCTGCTCGGTGTAACAGGGTATGTCAGAGAACCAATTAGTGAAAAAGCATAGTGTTAGCAATCGGTCAAACCATTTTGGAAGAGTCCGATAACAAGCACGGTGGCAAAGGATTTTTTTTGTAAATACATACATAATATACAGAGAAAACACCAAGACACAAGAACAAACAAGATACAAATAAACATACATATAAAGGTCTGTTCCGTGCGAAGAATAGAACTCGCGAGCATCGAAAGTAAAGCGGTTTGGCACACCTTATGTAAAGATTATGAAAGGGTCAAATGCATTCGATCAATTTACGAACTATATTTTTAGACCATTGTATAGATAGGTATCGTCAGCGAATCTATAGGAGTATTGTACTTTATTTTGTAATACATTAATTCAATTAAGGCAGATAAGAAACATTCTAAGTAGGTTGTTAGTCATTTCTACAAACTAAAACAAAAATATGTTTAACCTTGATAAATGGTAACTGTTTATATTTCTTGAGTAAATCTACGTACTTAAACAATATTATTATATACAAGTTAAAAATAAATGTCTGATAATTGTTATTTATTATTTTCTTGATTTTCGTCATACATCTTCAAAACAGAAAAAGTTCTCAAATACATACTATATATGTATTTTTTTAAAGATTTAGCTACATAGTTTGTTAAAGTTTTGATCGAAAGTTTATCTCTCATCTTGATGTTTTACTAATTCAAGAAATAAATTATATTTTTATTTCAGGAAATATAATATATGCATTTTTTCACATAATAATGATAATCTCGGTCTCATAAAGATTATGGAAACTTCATATTAAAGACAATTTAGAATAAAATACTAAGTAGTAGAACAGAAAAAAAATCTTTAATAGGTGAAAAATTATGCAATATCCGCATATTCATCGCATAATTGAAATAAACAAACATGCGGCTAACTAATATTTAGTACATTAGTGTCGTAGATGCCTATCTACGTTTTAGTATATTACTTTTATTAAACTCGTATTTTATTATAACAACAATCGTTTCAAAAAAATAACGTAACAACATATGTGACGTTATCACTACACATGTAGAACAAACGTCGGGCCGTACAAACGTTCAGCACAGACGACACTGTTCAAATAATTTTTGTTTGCTGCTTTGATAACGGGTGATAAGAGTACCTTCATTGTTTTATTGGGGGCTGTAAACTGCGCTCTTTGCCAGGCCACAATGACGAACTGTGATGCTATTCTATTACGGTCGAAAGGTACAACTGTCATAGAATGCGAAACGGTTAAAATTGACCATCTATTATATGGATATACATAACTAGCTCCGGCATGTAACGGCTTGTAAATTTTGTGACATTAAAATATATACGAATACAAACTATCTACTAATCAGTACGAATTAATGGCTGTCAATATATTAAATATACAGTGTGTTGACTAACTAAATCAGTCGCCATGGTTAGAGTAGACAGTCTAACCTGAACTGACTGCTGCTCGCAGCTTTGCATTCTGCATACTTAAGTTGAAATTTTCCAAAATACTGTTTTAGAGAATGACTATATGAGGGTTTTTAGATTTAACCTTCTAGCATTAAGAAACATTGACCTGACTGGTCAATTAATTTTAGAAGTCTAGATTTAGCTTAGATATTATAATTTGTTTACTAATAAGAGTATTAATAGATATATAACAAATTTGGGTGTCTTCAGAAGGCTTGTTGTATTTTATCTACGAACCACGTTCATTATATCATTGTGTAACGTAGTTATTACAAGACGCCTCATATCTTTTATGACTTTACATTTACACAATTTTATTATAAACACAAACACATCTCAAATACATAACTTTTAGTATATTTAATACCTACACTCGGCACAGACAGAAAAGCAAGACAATTTAAAATACATAAAATTGTAAATTACGATTTTGTTTTATATATTTACACTATGATAAATAGAAAGAAAATATGTTTAAAATATCCTTGAAACATTTTTACAAGATGC